TGTGTTAGCTCAGACAGCTATTGGAAAATGCAATGAATGCGCACACAATATTTACTCCAGTAGTGCTGTATGGACGCATGTGTTTTGTGTATGGCACTGCAGCAGTTAACAGGCTTAACTCAGCAAAGTATGTTAATAAAAATAAAATAAATCAGAGAATTTTAAATAATTTTAGCATAATCTATTGTTAATTTTTAGTTAGCTGTCAGAATATGCTAAATTTGAGAAACTGACAGTTCTTTAAGTTCACTGAAATTTGGTATTTAGTGAATAAACTTTTCTAAAACATACAATCCCTTGTAAAGCTTTGATTCATACACTAAACAAAATTATAAATGCAACACTTTTGTTTTTTCCCCATTTTTTTTTAATTTTTTTAAAATTCTTTATTTTGGTAGTGCAAGTGAGTCCAAAGTAACGTGCAGTGCCACAAGGACTTCTGCAAGCCAATCAATAGTTTATTACATATAATAACATTGGTATGGCATACTGTATGTTACATTTGCACAATTTTCTAGGTAAATGAGATTACAAGAGTACACATGCGGACGATCTAAGTCAAGCATGTCTAGCTAGTAATCATGAATATTTTCCACCCCTTCTGAGCATGGCTGATTGGGAATGAGCTAGTGTAGCTGGTGAGGGCATACAATGAGGGGAATATTATCATATATCCATCTATTGTGTAATAGGTTAATGATTCTTTTGGTGCCCTCAGATAATGGCTGCATTTATCACATGAGAGATGAAGATAAAACGCTTGCATGCGAGTTTGGGGGTCAAAGGAAGTTTAATTCCCAAACCCTGATGCTAAGAGGGTGCGCAGCCTGTGCCCATTAGGTGGCACTTCGTTTCCCGAGGGTTTGGTGTGTACTTGAGAGTATAACCAGGCTGGTGAAACAGTTTCTGTCCAGACATGGATGTAATTATTTGCTAGAAAAATAGGGAACCAAAACATAATCAAGGAGTAAAGGCATCCCTTCCAGTGGAAAGAGCCACTGGGGTTTTGTATGCGTTCATATGTGGGGTGTTGGTGTGTCTGCGTTATGTGTTGGGAGGTGTGCCCCCATTTTTCATGAGATGAACTCAGATCTAAGACTTTTTCTATGTACACAACAGGCCAATTTCTCTCAAATATTGTTCACAAATCTGTCTAAATCTGTGTTAGTGAGCACTTTTCCTTTGCCGAGATAATTCATCCACCTCACAGGTGTGGCATATCAAGATGCTGATTAGACAGCATGATTATTGCCCAGGTGTGCCTTAGGCTGGCCACAATAAAAAGCCACTCTAAAATGTGCAGTTTTATCACACAGCACAATGCCACAGATGTCGCAAGTTTTGAGGGAGTGTGCAATTGACATGCTGACTGCAGGAATGTCTACCAGAGCTGTTGCCCGTGAATTGAATGTTAATTTCTCTACCTTAAGCCGTCTCCAAAGGTGTTTCAGAGAATTTGGCAGTACATCCAACCGGCCTCACAACCGCAGACTACGTGTAACCACACCAGACCAGATCCTCCACATCCAGCATCTTCACCTCCAACATCGTCTGAGTCCAGCTACCCGGAAAGCTGCTACAACAATAGGTTTGCATAACCAAAAAATTTCTGCACAAACTGTCAGAAACCGTCTCACGGAAGCTCATCTGCATGCTCGTTGTCCTCATTGGGGTCTCAACCTTCGTCATCGTAACCGACTTGAGTGGGCAAATGCTCACATTTGATGGCGTCTGGCACTTTGGAGAGGTGTTGTCTTCACGGACGAATCCCTGTTTTCGCTGTACAGGGCAGATGGCAGACAGCATGTATGGCGTCGTGTGGGTGAGCGGTTTGCCAACGTTGTGGATCGAGTGTCCCATGGTGGCGGTGGGGTTATGGTATGGACAACGAACACAAGTACATTTTATTGATGGCATTTTGAATGCACAGAGATACCATGATGAGATCCTGAGGCCCATTGTTGTCCCATTCATCCACGACAATCATCTCATATTGCAGCATGATAATGAACAGCCCCATGTTTCACGGATCTGTACACAATTCCTGGAAGCCGAAAACATCCCAGTTCTTGCTTGGCCAGCATACTCACCGGACATGTCACCCATTGAGCATGTTTGGGATGCTCTGGATCGGCGTATACAACAGCATGTTCCTGGTCCTGCCAATATCCAGTAACTTCACACAGCCATGGAAGAGGAGTGGACCAACATTCCACAGGCCACAATCAACAACCTGATCAACTCTATGCGAAGGAGATGTGTTGCACTGCGTGAGGCAAATGGTGGTCACACCAGATACTGACTGGTTTTTGGACCCCCTCTGGATCCCCCCTGGACAACCCTAATACAGTAAAACTGCACATTTTAGAGTGGCCTTTTATTTTGTCCAGCCTAAGGCACACCTATGCAATAATCATGCTGTCTAATCAGAATCTTGATATGCCACACCTGTGAGGTGGATGGATTATCTCGGCAAAGGAGAAGTGCTCACTAACACAGATTTAGACAGATTTGTGAACAATATTTGAGAGAAATAGGCCTTTTGTGTACGTAGAAAAATGGCGGCAAAAACAAAAGTGTTGTGTTTATAATTTTGTTCAGTGTAAGGTATTGAACAAACTCCACTAATGTCTAAATTCGAATTTACTGTAGTAATTAGCATGTTTCGTTACAGTGTATCTGTACAAAGACCACATTGGAAAAAACAGTCACAGAGCCAAACACAATGCAACTATAAAGCATAAAAAACGAAACCCGGTGTCCTCACAGCCGTATTAAAAATCCACATCCCGCCCGAAGATCTTGCTGCTCCAGCTGTGAATTTATATGGATGTAGAAATGCTCAGGTCTTTGATTATAATCCTTTGACCATTGGAGAGGCTTTGCTCACGTGTTGACCTTTAACAGTTAAATTAGGAATCTATCTTTGAAGCTTAAAAAACAGCACATGTAGAAGTGAACAATTGCAAAACATCCCTGTGATATATGTAGTGAGAATCACGTGAAAGCTTTATGTTATGCTGCCATCACCGTAGATAAGCAGATAAACCCAAGTTATTTTAATGTCAGAAGGGTACATTTTCTTACTCCATATCCCCTGTATAATAAGAATGTGTGAGTGAGCACAAACGGGCCAGTAAAAAGCTGCTAACGTTGCCATATTGAGAGTATGTTACTGAATCCAAATCCTCTTCACAGTGAGGACACTTGCTCAGCAGCCATTATTAAATTGCAACTATCACTATTTTCAGCCATTTTTAATGAAAACGTGTTAATCATCGTCCTCTAACAATACATAAACATTCTGCAGCAACCATGGAATAAGAATGATGTGTTACTTGATAATATGGCAAGCTGATTTCTACCAGCAGTGATTCCAGATAACTATATTGAAGGAGGCTTTTTGTGGGTTTTTGGCGCACAATGGTTTCTCTGCACCATTCCCCCCCCCCCTTCTCCGGCCCTAAATGAGAATGGTTTTCCTCTTTCTGTGATGGGATTGCATGGGTCCTTATAAGGCCAGTCCAGTCTCAGCAACTTTCATGCCAAGATGAGGTCACTGCTTTATAGTTTCAACATGTGAACTTTTCAGTAAGATAAAAGAGAAAAGCAGGTTGAATTGTAACAGACTGCAGTCAGAGAACGCTGTGTGCTTCTTAACCCTATCCTGGCTGACAGTTTAAGTTCTTAGCAAAGTGGCGCAGACACCGGATTTAATGAACTATATATAATCCTTATTACTATAGCTTATTTATGCTTAGTATTACACCAGATGTCATGTATTTTTATTGCAGTCCTGCACAGTATTCAGAGAAGTAAAGGCAGTTTGCATGAAACATACTTTTTAACTGTCTTGGATTTAGTGGGAATGGATAGTTGTCATTTCGGACCCCTATCCCACCATCTCAGGTTTGTTCTCTGGTATCCAGCTTCTAGATATCTAGAGATAAGTCCCTACTAAGAGCAACATGAGTGTGCCTTTAACCCCTTAAGGACCAAACTTCTGGAATAAAAGGGAATCATGACATGTCACACATGTCATGTGTCCTTAAGGGGTTAAATGTGTATGTTATGAGCACAGCTAACTCATGGCATTTTTGAACATTAAAGAGTGCTGCAACAGCACTGTAGCCATGGACAGCCTTAATGGGTTCTGGCCAGCATTAAAGCTATTAGGCTTGGAACATGTTCACGCCAGAATGACATGCCGCTGTACTAAGCGGTCCTGCTCATGTCATCAGTGACACTCATTGCATCACATCACTGAAATACCCCTTCCCGGTCCCTCATGCCTCTCAATTTTGAGATTTATAGAGAAAAAATATGCCAAGACAAATGGTGGTTAACTTTAGGCCAGACCATGGGAAGGCTGAGGCTATAGGTCACAGAGAAGGTTACGCTTCAAACTCAGCAGTTCTAAATAAATAGAAAAAAGGACTGTCACAACAGCCTTCATTTAAGTGGAGCAACCTAACTCGTGTCAACTTTTTTGGTCTATTTTCTTTTAATTTCGTATGAAAGATTTAGCAAATGACACCATAATTCAGTTGAAATAAGGCAAAGTCAAGGCAAACAATGCAAATGAGGAGAAATAGAAACATTGTTACAGTCTCCTCCTGTCTGTATGCTTTCTCCATGAGGATTACCAGGTGCCAATGACAGAGTTTATAAGAATGATTGACAGTGAGCTAAAATGGAGACACCCAGTTGCAGGATAAAGACTCTAAATTTCTACATTTAATTTTGTCATTCACAAGTTACAAATACACATTTATTAAATATAGGGATAAGTAAACATAATATTAAATATCCAGGGAACTGGAACTCTTTCTTTAACCTTAGATTTGGCACCAGTGTGCAAGTAGAGCACTCAAATCAAAGAATTAATTTAGTCCACAAATTTCTCTAAATATAGCTAACCTTCCATTCGCTCCTTGGACTGTATTTGTAAGGTAAATCCTCCAAAATGTGACTTTCAGACAGTATTTGGCAAAGAAAAAAAGGAATAATGAACAAACAGCATTTAATCTCCAGACCATGGAAGAGCCAGACATGTAATAGTCACAGGCCTTTTTGGCACTGTCATTTTGCTGGTCTTCACATTTTCTGCAGATACCCCTCGAGGACATGTGAACTTATAATGTGGCATCTAAGATCTTCCATGGGTAACCTCCCAGTTGCACAATGAGATTGTAAACACCATTCCCATCAGCTGTCTGTAAGCTCAATGAGGAAAGCCAATCATTGGAAGAAGTGAATCCAATAAGATCCAAGCCTTTATGGATACTACCTACTTATGGCCAGCACTTTACACATGTTGGTCATCTGAGTGATCAAATTAATAGGGAAACTGATACTTGAATGGAATATACATGTAGTGGCGTATTCACTCAACAGTAAGCCAATAACCAACAGACAAAATGTAGATCAAATAAATAATTGGAGGGGGAGGCAGGAGGCATTTTTTTCAACCCTGCCAAGTTTGGCCATAATATTGCATGTCTGTTGCGAATTCGCTATAGTTCCATAAACAAACCGGTTTCTGAGTACTAGTGAGACTGCGGTGTACAACACACTCAGCAGGTACCAAAAACTGAAGCAATTGCAGGGGGAAGCGTTTTTGTTGTTGTTCATATAAAGCACTTGGAGTGTGTCTCTGTGTGGTGTTGATTTTTGGCATTGATAATCCTCTCATACAGCAGCCAGAAAGCTTCTCTTAGTAATCCCCAGAGATGTTTAAAATATATTTCAGACTTCCTCAGCTCTAAAGGAAACAAGCCAGGGATTTACCCCATGCAACGCATTAATACTCACTATGTTTAGCATTGAGACCTAGAACTTGTTTTCTTACTCTATTTTCTTAATATAAGAAACATGTAGCCTTGATTTTCTCCTGAACATTCTGTTAACATAATACACTCTCTCTTTGCTGGTTACACAGTTATTTTTACCCATGCAGACGATCCAAATTAGTCCATAGCTGACGGATCAAACAAGAAGAAGGGAGGAAAGGACAGAAGTGGTGAATAGTCCAAGGAAAAGATTGTCTTGTAGGTATTTTTCCTGAACAGTGAACTGAAAACTGAACTACAAAGTTTAAGATATTTTGCCCCAAATTTTGCAATTTCTTGTTCAGTTCAGTTTACTGTCCAGAAAATAATCCTTTTGAGATTATTATTATTATTATGTTATTTATATAGCGCCAACAAATTCCACAGCGTTTTACACTGGGTGGACGAACAAACATGTAATTGTAAGCAGACAAATTTGACGTACAGGAACAGAGGGGTTGAGGGCCCTGCTCAATGAGCTTACATGCTAGAGGGAGTGAGATGAGTACATGAATAAAAAAAGGGACAAAATGCAGGCAAAAATAATTGATCAGGTAACATTTTCTAACTAGACTATAGACACAGTTTAGCTGTTTTAGTCTGTATTTTGTCATTCAGATTCCAATTTGCTATACTTTGAAGTTTAGTGAATAAATAAATGTATACAAAGTAATATGTTTTTTGGAAAATTGATATTTCAAATGTGAATAAACACCACTCTTCTGGATTACAAATTTTACATTAATGAAACACAAATGGCAATGCTTATATTGTCAGACTGCTGGGATACGGTCTATTCTGCATTAAGATGTAGTGGTTTTGGTCCTGTTCCTGCAGTGATCTTTCTGAATGGGTAAATCCAAGTATATATTCCATATTTCCAGAGTTTTCGCTTCTCTGATCAAATTTAGTAGCTGTATGAAAGTAAGCCTCTGTAACTCTAAATCGTCAACAGTAATACATTATTCACAATAATTATATCCAATTTCACCCTAAATGCCCTTTCTGTTCACAGGAAATTTTGAGAACAAACGGATTTCTTAGCCTCCACAACTTTCACTTTATGGGTCTCGGAGCCAAACACATTCTATATTGTAGCGCCAGACGTCAGTCATGTTGCACTGCTCCAGAAATACAAGTAATTATTACATTTTGCAGAGAGCAGCCTATAAAGGTGAAACAGAATGTTCTAACAGAATTATTTCCCATTGCAAAAAAAAAGCTGTAGGTAAAAATCATATAGAAATGTACTGCTTAAACAAAAAGTTTGTTTTCACGTCATTTATAAAAAAATAAATAAAAAAAAGACTTTTATTTTGAATTGAGCAACACTGGTGGATATGTTAAAATATTGTGGTATGATTTTAAAGTGCAACTTTTGTTGATGGTATAATCTTACTATTAAAAAAAAATAATAACTTCCGAGTGTAGGTAAATAAAGGGTTACTCTAACTAAGAAAACACTGTTTTTGTATGCGAAAAGGCGGTCCACCACCCCTTTAAAAAAAAAAAACAACAACAAAAAAACCCACTAAAACTTACCTCCGTTCCATCGCCGAGTCTAAATGCAGCCCAATCCTCCTTGTCTGGTGTCACTTACCCTTGCTGGAGGGGAGGGCAGGGACTGTGGCAATATTGGCATAAATTTTCAGAATTATTATTAGCCAGCCCAAAACTTAGTTCTTCTGGGCTAGCTAATGACGTTGCCGGAGGTGAAGTTACACCTCCAGCAGCTAAGAGGTTAGTTTTTGTATGAGAAATGTTATATAACACAAAGACTTGAGGCAACATGACCACTTTAAATCACTGAAGTGGTCATGGTATTTGGAGTAACCCTTTAAACTGTCGAAAACCATCCTGTACTGACTAAAAACTGCATTTAATTAAGTTAACAATGTTAACAATCACAATGGCTTATTTACTTTTTTATATTAGATACACACACGTGCTGCTGTCATCCCTGGTGGTCCAGTGGCGAGTGAACTCTAGCCTGCGGGGCTAGAGTTCACTCTTCCGAGATCTGAGCGTTTCTGCGGCCCATAGGAACTGGCCCATGGAGGCACATAGCATGGGCCACGGGGATTAGAGTGTGCCCAGGAACACCCTGTGCGCACGCCTATGCCTGCACCTCATCATCTGAGCACTCTCACCCAATGAGCAAAGTCCTGCACCTCCTCATCTGAGCACTCTCACCCAGTGAGCCAAGCCCTGCACCTCCTCATCTGAGCACTTTCACCCAATGAGCAAAGTCCTGCACTGCATCAGCTGAGCACTCTCACGCAGTGAGTCAAGCCCTGCACCTCATCATCTGAGCACTCTCACCCCATGTGCCAAGCCCTGCACCTCATCATCTGAGCATTCTCACCCAATGAGCCAAGCCCTGCACCTCATCATCTGAGCACTCTCACCCAATGAGCCAAGTCCTGCACTGCATCAACTAAGCATTCTCACCCAATAAGCCAAGCCTTAAACAGCAAAGCTCATCACTGTAAAACATTAAAATAAAATAAACATCTATAAAACTATAAAAATAAACTATTTAATAAAAATCCCGGGTTAATTTTCTATATAGAATTAGAAGAAATTATTTTTTTTATTGCCACAAAACAACGATCTATGTCTTAAGTTGACAAGAAAAATAAAACATTAGACAAAATTAGACTGCATATGATCAATGTCTATATCACTATAGTTCTTATTCATTCTTTAGGGTATGGCAAACCAAAAGGGGAGTTGGTCAATAGCAGTTGGGGTATGTTTGTCATGCAGCTACGTCCTTTATATATATATATATATATATATATATATATACATTACAGTTCTATTTATCACACAATAAAAATAATTATCAATGTATACAATTAGTATCAAAAGATAATAAAAGAACACTATAGAGTCAGGAACACAAACATGTATTCCTGACCCTATAGTGTTAAAACCACCATATAAACCCCCTGGCCTCCTTAAATATAGTAAAAGCTTATTTGTATTCACGCCTGCAGCTGCAGCTGCAGCTGCAGCTGCAGCCTCTGCCCCTGATCTGCCTGCATGCCTGACATAATCAGAAGTGATTCTGTGAGGCAATCACAATGCTTTCCCATAGGATTGGCTGAGACTGTCAAGGAGGCAGATCAGGGGAAGAGCCAGCATGATTCAAACAAAGCCCTGGCCAATCAGCATCTCCTCATAGAGATGAATTGAATCAATGAATCTTTATGAGGAAAGGTCAGTTTCAGCACTTTCTCTGAAAATGCAGTGTTTACTGCAAAAGCCTGAAGGTAATGATTCTACTCACCAGAACAAATACAATCTGCTGTAGTTGTTCTGGTGACTATCCCTTCAAACTGGTAAAGAACTGAATTACATTGTTTCAAAAAGAATTGCAACAGTGTTATTAAGTACACTAGCTCTCACTAGGCTGGAAAATCCAGAAATTAGCTATTTTAATAAGGCATTTTTGTTGCAAGAAATAAGACTAACTTTGAATAATATAAGGAGACAGAAAAGACTATTTTTAATTAGTTCATTCAAAAAGACTCCTCTCATTTTAAACTGCGGCCCTGACGGTTATTCTAATCCTGAGGCCTCGACATGGACCTCATATAAAGATTTGTCCTGACATTCAATTTTTATTTGCATGTTAATACAATGCCCTCCAGTAGCCTCTCTCAGTTGTGTGGCACAAACTAATATCAGCTTATGTCCGTTTGAAGAAACTGTTAAAATACACTAAGGTGCTAGTAAAAAAAATAACATTGGTCTGACATGCGTTTCGCCCCCATTATATGTTGATAGGGGACCTTGACAAGATTGATGGCCATCACCTATATAATGCACTTCAGTCATCTTTTGATCAATAGTGGTCATAACAAGATCAATACCTAAATACTGCATTGATAATGAATTGATTGTACAAGCAAATATAGTTCTGTTCAATATTTTCATACTGGTGTCTTCCAAATCCCAATTACACTAATTGCACTGGATTCCTATACAACAGGCCACCAAGACAAATGAGCCTCTCGGTCAACCAACATCCTCAGGACCTGCTCATACTAGCTACAAAACAGATGTCACAACATTCCCCCCTATTACTTCCAGCTGTGGAATTAATCTATTACTTCCTTACGATTCAATTTCCCAGCACCACCGCAAAACAGAACCCTTGCGACCTTAACTCCAGTTATTCCTGGATTATGAGACTGGAATCTTATATGATTGCAGTCAACACTTCAACACAAAGAACTGTGCTAGACCTTTTTATATTTTTATCGGCCCCTTTTTTTTGACTTTTTTTTTCTTATTCAATCTACAACTGGGAATTTGTGTGTTTTTGTTATACTGGTGCCTTTGTTTGTATGTTAATATTTTGTTCTG